ATGTAAACAGCTGCTTTCAGACATTGGACCATAGGCAGCACAGGACTGTTATCCTTGGTAAATAAAAGAAAGCAACAGAGGTGAGCCCCTATGACAGTCCTGGCTTTTTTCCTAGAGGCAATTTCCAGATCAATGTGCAGAGAGGAGGAACCCAAAAAGCCCGGTTGTCTCTGAGTTGAGGCAACAGAGACTGCACAGTGGGAAGCCTGAGGGAGCTAAAGTTTTCAGGGGAGAGTAAGAGAGAAGATGAAGTCATAGGTGAAAGAGCTTCTGAAATCCACATGGGGGTCACTTTGAGTCTTCGGCTGAATACCAATCATAAGGAAGGTGAAACTTCATCAAATCAAGTGAAGAACAGCTTTCAAGGAAAGAACAGCTCTGGGGACTTAATAAGCTAAAAGTTCTAGAGCTCACACAGGGCTAGAACTCCTTATGTTTCCAGAAGCCAGAGGAGAGAAACCACATTGAATACATGCGGCATTCAGTAGAGACCTCAGAATACCCACAACTTACTAGTGGGACTAAAGAAGCCCTACACTTACTATAAATAAAGCTTAAAATCAAGTCTCAAAAAGATGAAAGTGATCCACAAGTAACTTAACAGCCCTGAACACTTTTTAAAGGAAGAGCCAAAAAAAAAAAAGCAGCACTCAACATTGTAAAATTCATAATGCCCATCAATCAATTAAAAATTGCTGTTAGACATGTGAGGAAGCAGGAAAATGAGTCCAATAAACAGGAAAAATCAATCAATATAAACAGATGCAGTCATGACAGAGATGATAGAACTGGCAGACAAGGATGTTAAACATGCTCAATGTGCTCAAAAAGTTGAAGGAAAATCTAATGTAAAAAGGAAAGAAGTAAAAGATATATAAGAAAAGAACCAAATAAGATTTGAAATGAAAAATAAAATATAAGAGGGGGAGGGTAGAGCTCAGTGGTAGAGTGCATGCCTAGCATGTGTGAGGTCCTGGGTTCAATTCCCAGTACCTCTACTAAATAAATAAACTTAATTACCTCCCTCCATTAAAATTTTTGTTCAATAAAATAAAATAAAATATATGAAGTAAAATTTTCACTGGACAGGATTTACAGCAATTAGATACCACAAAAAATTCTACAAACTTCAAAACGTAATAATAGAAACCATTCCCAAATTAAACACATAGAGTCAAAAAGACTTACAAACAAAACCCAAGAGGAACCTCAAGGAAAATATCAAGCAGTCTAACATACGTATCACTGGACTCTAAGAAAAAGGGTTTCTGGGCTGAACAGAAAATATACTTAAAAAATAAGGGCCAGAAAATTTCAAGATTTGATAAAAATTATAAATCTACAGATCTGAGAAAGAAACAGAATGCAAGAAAAAGAAAAAAACCCAATTCATTACAAATGAATTGTTGAAAAACAGAGATAAAGAAAAAATCTTAAAAGCGATGGAAGGAAAAAAAAGGTATAGAAGAAAGATAGGCATAGAAGAATAAAAGGTGTAGGTATAGACGAATAAAAATAATCACCTCAGACTTCACAGAAATAATGTAAACTAGAGGCAGTGGGATGATGGATTCAAAGCACTGAAAGAAAAATAACAGTGTAATTCTAGATTTCCCATTCATTGAAAATATTGCCCAAAACTAAAGTGAAAATAAAAGCTTTTTTAGACACACCAAAGCTAGCAGAATTTACTACTAGCAGACTTGAACTATAAGAAATATTAAAGGAGATTCTTCAGGCAAAGAGAACAAAATATCAGAGGAAACTCTGAATTTACAAAAAGGAATGAAGAGTACAGGAAGAGGTGAATATACTGGAAAAGATAAAAAAAAATCGTCCCTTTTAAAATTCTTTAGGGGCACTTGTTTAAAGTAATAAATAACAATATATCAGGAGTTTATAACGTGTAGGAATAAAATGCACAGCAACAAGAGCACAAATTATGGAAGGGGAAAAACAGAAGGCACTTACTTACTTTATGCATGAAGTGGTAGAATATTATTTAACACAGACTGTGCTTAGTTAAAGATGTAGATTGTAAACCCTAGAGAAACCACTAAAAATAAAATAAAGCTAGTGAATGAATCTTGGAGATAAAATATAGTCATAAAAGTGCTCAATAAATCCAAAAGAAAGCAGGAAAGGCAGAGAAATAAACAGACGCAAGAAGGACAAATAGAAACCAAATAGCAAGGTAACAGATGTAAGCTAAATATATTGATAATTACATTAAATGTTTGGTCTTTTCAGACTGGATAAGAAAGTTTTGATGGCCTGTATGTGTGTATCCCCCCAAATTCAACATGTTGAAATCCTAATGCCCAATGTGACGGGTATAGGTGGGTGGGGCCTTGGGGAGCTGACTGGTTCATGAGGGTGGAGCCTTTATTAGAGGTGCTCTGTAAGAGCTCCCAGAGAGCAGCCCCTTCCACCCTGTGAGGACGCAGCGAGACGTCTCCTGGAAGAGGGCCCTCACCTCACCGTGGCGGCACCATGGTCTCGAACTTCCCAACCTCCAAAACTGAGAAATAAATTCCCTTTGTCTATAAGCCACCTAGTCTGTGGTATTTTGTTACAGAGCCTGAACAGACTAAGACAAAAGCAAACCCCAAATAGATGCTGTCTACGAGAAACTGACTTTAAAGATA